TACTTAATTTACCTTGATCGTTCCTTGCAGGACCAGTAGTCCATACAGAGAACGAACCAATATTAAACACCTTTAAACCAATTACTGATGGCAAAAAGTTAGGTCTCGCCAAAAGATATTTTTTAGTTTAAACTATACAGGTTTTTTTCCTAGTTCAGCCATAGAGTTATTTACTATTAGTTTTTTTCATTTTATGCCTCAAACGTTTGTGAAACATAGGGTTAAGTAATATAATATTAAAAATAATGGGTTCTACTTGAATGCCTGTATTTAGTTGGGGATATTTTTTTCTAACTGTAATGTTTAACCTAAATTGTGCATGTTTGTTATAGACTCCCAACAACTGACTTAAATGGACACTATGAGCACCAATACAACTGCATTCATATGATTTTGGCCTAATTAATGTGCTGTATTTTTTTTTATTTATGCTAAATTTTTTTTACTTGCAGCACAAAACAATAAATGTTTGGCAGAATGCTGCACCATAAGCCTGCTTACTTAGCCACACCCCCTCACTCCAGAAAATTACTTCCTTATCAAATGTATGTACATAGCTCGGCCATTAACAGCACTGAGTGATCTGAACTACAAACCAACCTGCATTACAAGGAGGGGAAACCCAAGAAAACATACAGAAATTATCCTACTAGTTTCTCTGACTGTCTGCAGACAGATTGTGAATTAAAAATAGTTCAAAACATATCAAATACATTCAACATGTATTGTTGTCAGGAAACGCGGTGGGTGGGGGCCATAAATAACAATAAGGGGGCAGGCCTACTGTCCTCCCCCCGGCCCCCACCCCTGAGTGGTGGGGGGGCCATAAATAAAAATTGGTGGGGGACCTAATTTCTTCCCCTTTGGCCCCCACCCCTGCGCGGCGGGTGGGGGCCCTAAATAACAATAAGGGGGGGACCTAATGTTGCAAAAATTTTTTTTAAATAATCCTTCAACCATGGAGTGCTCCGCACAGACTGAGCTCTGCAGGGCGGGGGAAGGCTTATAAAGCCGTCCCCCGCCCTGCAATTAGGCACAGAGCACTCTGATTGGTGGGTTTAAGCCAGCCAATCAGAGTGCTCTGACAGGTAAATGAAGAGACTGACAAGTAAGTCTCTACATTTACCTGTTACAGCACTCTGATTGGTTGCCTTGAAATACACCAATCAGAGTGCTCTGTGTCATTTTACACAGCGTGGGAAAGTTCTTTGAAATTTCGTTTGGGGACCCCTAGTCACTTGGGGGGGAATTTTTATTTATGGCCCCCACCCACCACTCAGGGGTGGGGGCCGGGGGGGGAGGAAATTAGGTCCCCCCTTATTGTTATTTAGGGCCCCCACCCGCCCCACGCTAGCCACTGGCTGCTCACTGTTTACTAGACACGCCCCTACTCGCGGTATAACGAGTAGAGGCTGAATTTACTAATACTAAGTCACATTTACTTAGTATTAGTAAATGTGGCTGAAAGACCAATTTAGGTCTTTCAGCCTTTTGGTAGATAGCTCCCTAATACCGTGGGAATTAGGGTGTTATCTACTAAGCAGCTGCTTATTTTATGTTATTTTTAAGTGATTTCTCTATCCACATTTGTCTGCAGGGCACTTGTCATACTATTACCCCCATTTTACTTCATTTTGCAGCCCTCTAGCCCTTTCCTGGAGCTTTTTAGAGCCATTTATGTGGTCAAAAGTTCAGGGTCAGGTTCGAGCCCGAACCCGGACTTTTTTTCAAAGTTCTGCCAAACCCTCATCAACTCTATTAGTAACTCAACCTATACTATAGAAATCAATATAGTGATCCGAACGCGCCGGACCCGATCATCCATGTGTCCGCTCAACTCTAGTCAGGTGTATACAAACACTAGGGGACTTTGCTAAAACCGACAGGGGAAGTGTGCCTGCACTGACTTTACTTTGTGTAGTGTCCTGGTAGAATTGATATAGCAACTAATTTGAAAACATGCCTTTTTCTTGATGCACATCCAAATTGCAAAATTGTAAAGGCCAATTATGGTCAGTAAAGAGTCGGATGTGAGCAGCGAGCAGACATTAGGCACAGGTGTGACCTAAAATTTGCAAATGTTTACCCTTTTTCAATCCTCAAAAATCCTCATGTAATAAATTTCTTAATCTCTCACACTTTTATTTTTAGATTGTATTTGTATTAAATTATGCTTCACATATAAATATTTGATGTGAAACAAGAGCCCTGTTTCTCCTGAACAAAATGATATATAATAAGTGTGGGTACACTAATATAAAAGAGGTAAATTATGGTTGAACAGACATTTAGCTCAAAGTCTAGATTTTATTTTAGTCAGAGCTTTCTACCTCAAGGGTATAAAGGGTATAAAGGGTGGCAGTGCCATATCAGAGTTTTTTAAGGATTGAATAAGGGAGGAAGTTACATGTCATATCATAGACCAGTAGTGATAAATAAAAAAAAACATTCAATTACTGTAGACCCAATTTAAACGCAAGCTTGAAATATGAACTATTTACCTGATGAAGACTGTGTGTTGAAACGTGTTTTGCTTTTTAGGTATAATTATGTTATTTTACTTGTGGTGGGGTGTAATGCACAATTTATTCTCTTTAATTGTATCGGGTATTTCAATACATATTGGTGTGGGTAAAAATCTGAAGGTGACCCTGTGGGGGTCCATTTCTAAGAAATAAAATGAACCTGAAAGGAGGGCACCTGCAAATTTCTGGGATCGATGTTGGGAGGTGTGTTTTAGTGCCATATATCGTTGTGCTGAGTATAAGTCTATCTGAATATGTTTCTTACATTTTGGATCAACTCACAGCTTGACCAATTTATGTTCCTTAACGATCCAGATTGTTAGAGCTTGCTTAAGAAAGCAATCCAATCACTAATGCATGAATTTTTTGTGTGTAAATTAAAGAATACTGCACAGTTACACCAATTACTTTCCAAGTTAAGATTGGAGAAATGATTCCTAAAAAGCAGTGTAAGATTTTCAGCTGCAAATTAAGCGTAGTATATCAAGCACTTTCATTTTAGTATTGGCTGTTGCTTTTAATATCTCACGTCAGCAAGCAATGTCCAACAAATAAAGTATATCGACATATTTTAATCAAATGATGCTGAATCAGGCCTACCGCAGCCAGCCTTGGCCATCACTCATTAACAAAGGCTCTGGCAGATGCATAGTAATAGTTATATGAACAGCAACCATTATTTCAGATGGGACCAACTCAAACAACCATCTATGTCATATATAAATCACAGCCACCACTTTACAAAGCATGATAGAAGAATTAAAAAGGAACAAAAATCCATTCTAAATACTTGGACAATCAGTGCACTGGATGGATGGATGAATGCATAATTGGATAATTGTATGGATGAATTGAACAAGTGCGTAAATGTATGAATAGATGGATGGATGAAATGGATGGATGGATGGATGAATGCATAACTGGATAATTGTATGGATGCATGGATGAATTGAACAAGTGCGTAAATGTATGAATGGATGGATGGATGAATAAATAGATGGATGGATGAAATGGATGGATGGATGGATGAATGAATGAATGAATGGATGGATGAATGGATGGATGAATTAATGAATGAATGGATGGATGGATGAATGGATGAATGGATTGATGGATGGTTGGATGGTTGGATGGTTGGATGGATGAATGGATGGTTGGATGGATGGTTGGATGGATGGATGGATGGATGGAAGAATGGATGAATGGATGGATGGATGGATAATTGATATTTGGATGAACAAGTGCATAACAAGTTGCTTCTGTGTTTTATTTGTCTCCTAAATCAAATTCTCGGAATAAACAAACAAATTGGTTAAAATGAGAAAAGGAAACATTTTGTGAAAGCAGGTATTCAAAAGGAGAAGAAATGGGTAAAAACACTCTCCTTGAGAAAAAAGTAAAAAATATCTTTGTCTTAATATATTAAAACAGGTTTGAAATTATTCATAAATGCTGCTACACACCCACGTGCTTTTGCCCCAGAAGGTAATAAGCAAACATAGATACAAAAAAAGTGGAAAAAGAAATCTAAGTGGAGCACAAACAAATGGGTTTAAAACCACTGCATATATTGTGCCGAAACAAATAAAATGGTGTACTTAAAATTGGCAATGGTTGCTCAAGTAAGACTCTGTATGAGGTAATTAGTCAATGAACATGTAAGAAAAAAAAAGATAATATAAATAATAGTATCGTCAGTATGACAAATATGCAATATACAAACAACAACTAGTCTTATAACTAGTACAAAAGTTTATTTATACACATTTTTTTTAAAACCAATGAATGTGAAGTGAGCATCTGCAGGCTTAGACCACCGCTACTCACAAAAGCCAGAAAGTTGTCACGAAGTGGAGCAGGATCCCTTCGATAGACACTGGTCTCTGATATCAAATGTTGTTATATTTCTCTCTTCCTCTCGGTCGGACCGGAACTACGAGCGAATGTCGTGGAAAGGCGCAAATCTAAGGGTTTAAAAGAGAAGATCATGAAGGAGGACGGTAGCAACCCACTTTTGAGAAAGGCATTAGCCGAAACACATTGAGTGGACAGTGGAGTTTTATGTTATATGTGAGGTCATTTTTATCTTTATTTTTGTCCAATAAATAATTTCTTTCTTCACCTATTTCTTATAGTGAAAAAAGTGATAAATGATCTCTATCCAATAAAGCAGCTATTCACCAACAAGGAGTTAATTTTACCTTGTGAACAATAGAACAAAACAAGCCAGTAAATTAGGTGGACAGCGCTAAGAATTATTATAATAAAATCATACATACAAAGGTAGCAGCAGATTTCGCAATTATGTTTCTTACTCTTAAAAAAAAGGAAATAAAAGTACAATGATAGTGCAGTATGTTATGAATAATATGGTGATAAAGATATATTCCAAAGGGGCACTCACGTTTTCCAGAGCTTAAAAAGCTCTCTTTTAGGAGCCTGGACGGAACAATCCCCGTCTAAGGATTTATTTTTGCTGGTATCAGATTCCCAAGGTAGTGCGGTTCATCATATAAAAAAAATAAGGATGTATACCAATGGTACAGTACGTATGTAAAAGTAGGATAAGTAAATAATATTAGACCTACTTACATTTGCTAGAGCAATGACCTGCTCTAGTGTATGGAGCTTTAGGTGGAACAATCCCCACCTAGGGATATATGTAGATCCGGAACAGCAGAGTGATGGTGAGAGTATAAGGAGCTCAAGAGTGACTGGGTATTAAAACAGAATCTTTATTAATAGTTGGTTTTATTATAGTTCTTTTTACTATATAGTTCACTTTTAAATAGTTTTATTCATTCTGTTTATTAATAAAGATTGAATACCCTGTCACTCTTGAGCTCCTTATACTCTCACCATCACTCTGCTGTTCCGGATCTACATATATCCCTAGGTGGGGATTGTTCCACCTAAAGCTCCATACACTAGAGCAGGTCATTGCTCTAGCAAATGTAAGTAGGTCTAATATTATTTACTTATCCTACTTTTACATACGTACTGTACCATTGGTATACATCCTTTTTTTTTTTTCATATGATGAACCGCACTACCTTGGGAATCTGATACCAGCAAAAAGAAATCCTTAGACGGGGATTGTTCCTTCCAGGCTCCTAAAGTAGAGCTTTTAAAGCTCTGGAAAACGTGAGTGTCCCTTTGGAATATATCTTTATCACCATATTATTCATAACATACTGCACTATCATTGTACTTGTATTTCCTTTTTTTAAGAGTAAGAAACATAATTGCGAAATCTGCTGCTATTTTTGTATGTATGATTTTATTATAATAATTCTTAGCGGTGTCCACCTAATTTACTAGCTTGTTCACCTATTTCTTGCATCCTGGAGCATTTATGGTTTAAGATCACCTGTACTCAGATTGGCAAAAGGAATATTTTGACCCACTACTACCATCCACTGTATCCTTTATTTCATGCTACTAGTCTAAGCCAGCTTTGTGAAGTGGCTCAAAACCATGTGAGTTGAACCAACAAACTGTATATAGATTTTAATCCAGTTAGGAGGAGGTTTATTTTAGAGAGAGATGCATACTGAAGTTGCATGTTCACACCTTTTTGGCTTATCTGATTCATTTTCCGAATCAGGAAAAAAAAAATCCAAAATTTGGTCATTATGAAAAATTTCCTTCTTTGGAAAAATAGAAATAGAAGCTTAATAAATGGGCTGATGGCTTACCACTCTGCTTGGTCATTAAAGTCACCTTCAGCCTGACATTAATTCACCCACTGGTTGTCATACCCACTCTCTTGCCAGTTCCAGCACCAGAAAGCAATGTGAAGATGCATATGCACCTGCCTTGGCAGGCATGAGCCCAAAACAAGAGGGACTGCGGTTGGCATAGGGGCATGTGACTGATTCAGAACTCTACAAAATCATATGGGAAGACTTGCTCTAAAATCCCCTACTGCAGCTGTGAGGGATTTGCTTACACTGCTCTTTTCTCTGACATCGCTAAGCATGGGACACTAGAGAGAAAACCTTGAACAGAAGGGCGATGGTCCAAAACCATCACAGTCTCCAAAAAGTGCAGGTCAAGCCCAATGTGCAACTACTTAAACAGTGTTCTGTGTACAGGCCGTCCTATTCTTCTGACAACATAGCATGAGTATACTGATACTACTTATCACTATGGCATACCTTTCCCTCTACTGATACAATTTTAATACATGCAGTATTGGTTGCTAATCTACATAGAACAAATAATGGTCAACGTCATTATACAAATCTGGTCCTTAGAAACACTAGTCTATGGGGGGGCGTGTCCTAGACTCTGAAAAGAGCAGACGCATGAAACGGACCATGTCCCAACCCAAAGGCAAAAGAAATGCAAAAAGGTTAGAAAAATCCAATTTCTTCGCTTCTCGAGTAGGTCAGACCAAATCTCAGCTGGCCCAGGCACTTGACCAATATGGCGCGAACAAAGAATCTGATCAGTCACAGCCGTCTCTGGAACCAACGGATGCAATGTCCACCAAATTGCTGAATACTCTACAAATTGCTGTTGGAGACCTCAAAAGAGACGTCCAAGATCTTGGCACCAGGCCATACACGGTGGAAGACAAGATGGCGGAAATGGCCGATGCGCATAACGACCTGGCGGGAAAGTTGGAAAGCCTCATTGCCAGAGTAGACTCGCTTGAGGACTAAGATGGCGGACCTGGTGTGCAGGGATGCCGTAACAATATCCGCATTCGCAGGGTGGCTGAAGCAGTCATTCCAGCTGACCTCGCCACTTACATTACGGGGCTCTTGAAATCCCTAGCACTGGACCTGCCTCACAACATACTCCTGCTGGATAGAGCACACCGAAAGGCAAGCCCAGGTTTACCCACCCGAAACACCTCAATATGTGCTGGTGCGTATGCACTATTTCCACGCTAAGGAGTGGGTACTGAAAGCAAGCAGGACCAGAAAGACCCTGCCTGAACCTTACAACAGCATTTTACTATTCGCTGATATCTCAGCAGCCACATTGAAGCGCTGGAAGGAATTCCAGACCATCACAATAATGCTAACATCACACCACCTAGCCTAAAGATGGGGATTTCCTGTAAAGCTACTGGTCAACAGAAATGGAAAAACTACTGTGAACCAGAGCCCAGAGGAAGGTGACCATGTCATGAGAAGCTGGGAACTGGAAAACCTACATACCCTAAACCGCTCACCGCAGATAGAAAGACTATCTCCAAATTATAAGAAAACGAAAAGACATAGATACAGTTTACTAGCGCTGGCAATTACATGGACTGTAGTGGGCTGAGCGACAACAGTAAGTATCTTTGATGTAATCCTTATGCTTATGTGTAATGAGGGGCCAGATCTGGAATTGCAATCTGTCTTCCCTTCCCCAGATTTTTTATGGGAAATAAGCACCCGGAGCGCTGTGGCTTCATTAGTAGAGGGTAGAGGATGAAGGGAATGACCCCCCCCACGAAAAACAAAAAACTGGTGTAGCATAGCTATATGCTATTAATACCACTGTTCAGAGCATTCTGTTCTTCTAGGAAGAAGCCATGTGCTTCTGTCCCTGGGGCACCACTCCACAGTGCCCAGCCACCAACCAGGCAGTTATGTTTTTTAGTTTTTATATTGTTTTTGTTGCTTTCTTGTATTACTCAATGTTTAAATGTTATTTTACTGGCCGTGTGGGCGGCCATAGAGAGGTCAGTTCCTGCGCTCGGAAAGTACTGAGAGTGAACGCTGACTATTCAGTTGCGGATCCTGAAACCGCGGACCGTGTACAGTGAACTCACCACTGTACTCCACTAGGGGTAGGACACTTGGCTCCCATACCCATGGTACCACTGCACACATCTATCTTATGACCCCCCATAAAAATATGTTCAAAGAACGTTAGGGGATTAAATATCCCAGTAAAAAGGCACTTATTGGAGAGGGAACTGAGGGCTGATGTGGTGTGCCTGCAGGAGACACACTACAGGACAAATGACCACCCAAACACGCTGCAGACATGCAGGGACATACTAGCCACGAGGCAAGCAAGGCATTTGCCTTGGGCGGCATTTTCCAGGGGGCGGCAAAAAAAGCTGCCCCTAAATTCCCAGGGCAAATGTCTTGTTAGCCTTATGGCTAACTAAAAATCCGGTTGGGCGGGCGGCACTGGTGAGGGAGCACTGATTAGTGAGGGAGCTGAGCAGAGAGCTCACTAATCAGTGCTCCCTCGCCAGTGCCGCCCGCCCGCCCAGCAGCCCAGCAGCCCTCCCCCCCCCAGCATTGCCAAAGGTAAGGAGGCTGGGGGGGTTGAATTTAAAAAAAAAATAAGTGAGTGTGTTAATGTGAGTGTGTGTGTCTGTTAGTGAGTGTGTGAGTGTGTGTGTTAGAGTGTGTGTGTGTCTGTTAGTGAGTGTGTGTGTCTGTTAGTTAGTGAGTGGGTGTGTCTGTTAGTGTGTGTGTGTGTGTTTGTGTGTTTGTGTGTGTGTTTGTGTGTTAGTGTGTGTGTTAGTGAGTGTGTGTCTGTTAGTGTGTGTGTGTTAGTGTGTGTGTCTGTTAGTGTATGTGAGTGTGTGTCTGTTAGTGAGTGTGAGTGTGTGTCTGTTAGTGAGTGTGTGTACGTCAGGGAGTGCGTCACCATGTGTGTCTGTTAGTGAGTGTATGCGTGTCTGTTAGGGAATGTGTGTGTCTGCTAGTGACTGTATGTGTCTGCTAGTGAGTGTGTATGTCTGTTAGCTGGTGTATGCATGTCTGTCAGTGAATGTGTGTGTGTGTGTATTTAGAAGGTGGGGCACGGTGGGGTGGCGCAGGGGGGTGCAGCACAAAACCAAGATACACCACTGCAGACATGGTACCCATGGCAGTTTCATTCTACTGCATCCACAAAATCAAAAGGGGCATCAATCCTGAACAACAATTCTATAGCCTTCATATTACAGACGAAAGACATAGATGACCAAGGACAATTAATGGTGGGTCTCTTCAACAACATGCTCTACACAATTGTCAACATCTACACACCAAACAACAACCAGAGAAACGTCTTACATAGCAAAACTGTCACGCATACAGCATGGGATTACGGTCCTATGTGGTTACTTTAACCACGTCTTTGATCCCACGGTTGACACAACTTTACCTAGACATTGTAACAGATTTAGAACTCTTAAGAAACAATGTAAACAGTTACAAAAACTCCTTTCCTTCCACCACATGTATGACATTTGGAGAATTACACATATGGATGAACACGCTTACACTCATTTCTCCCCAGTGCATAATTCCTATTCTAGGATAGATGGGTTCTTAATGCACGGGACTGTCCTGCCTCAAGTAGTGAAGTGTGACGTTGGGGACATAACATGGTTGGACCACACACTGGTTACGCTGGAACTTAAAGACTTTAAGCAGCGAAGCCCCTGGAGAATATAATCCACAATATTACATGACACAACTTTTACACAAGACTTGAGGAGCGCACTCCCACACTACTTTACAGAGAATGAAACACTGGGTATATTCCCCAGCACTATATGGGTTGCTCACAAAGCTTTAGCTAGAGGAATTCCTATAAGCAAAACACTGTACCTGCGCAAACAGGCACGACAACAATTTCAAAAGTGCCAGAACTATACCAACTGAATGACCAAAACCAGATCAACTCATCACAAGCCTTTAAATCTAAAAATCTAAAATTGCCCAAGTAACTAGGAGTCTGCATCAGCATGCCTTAGATGAAACAGGGCTCTACCTACGAAAAC